GGGGAGTTGTGTATTCTTCCGTTGGGGAGTCTTTTGTGTGTTTGTCGTGTTATGTTGTGGTATTTAGACTACCTTTGGTAGGTCTCCTCCTTTCGGATCTGGGCTAGTTATAATTATGTGTTTTTTAGTAATGAATTTTTATTGTTTTGAAAAATAAAAAGACTCATCAAACCGAACATGTTTGGGAGCGCACAATAAATTATGCATGCAAACAAATCGTCTACTATTTTGTTGTTAAAAGAGTCGAGCAAAACTTTCATAAACATTAACGATTCGGCTTGTTTAATCACAACACGAGTTCGAATGGAAAGTGCTCGGTTTAGCTCGATTCGACTAGAATAACAACCCTCGTTAAGGGTTTACTTCATATGAGTAGGGGTGTTATTGAGTCGAGCCGAATAGATTATGTTCAAGTTCGTGCTTGTTTAATCAACGAGTTGGGTTAGTATAACTCGTTTAATAAAAAATTAACTCATTTAATAAATATAAAATTTTAAACTCGTTCGTAAAAATAAAAACTTCAATCATAAGTAAATCAAGCTCGACTGTTTCGCATAGAACTAGTATTCGATTTTGTGCACATGCACAGTGGAAAACAAAAATTTATATATTATATGTACCTATATGATATTTAAAAATTTAAATTAGATAAAGTGTGTATTATACTTTAAAATTTTGACTATATGTAAATGTATAATATAAGTTCAAAATATTTAACTTCCACATAAATCATTTTTTTATTGTATAACTTAATACAAAATAGGAATATTAGCTGTAAAATTATTTAATATTTTATATTTAGAAAAGTTAAAATCTTCTAAAGCTGTTACAGAATAAGAAAAATTAACAATAATAAGATTTTGCTTGTGTAACTGAGTGCCGGTCAAAAAGATTTTTTATTAATTAATAGTAATAAAGAAAATAAAATAAATGAGGTTAACTCGCTCAATAAGCAAGTTAAATTAGTTGTTCAAATCTTACTCGTTTAACAAGAACAAACGCTCCAAAATCAAGCATTTATGAGCCAAAATGAGTTTCACCAATAATTCGATTTGAATCTTCTTCTCTTATCTATAAAAAGGAAGTGAGGGTCTCCTTATTTGACACGTGTTCCTGCAATTTGGTGAGGCCACGTCGCCTTACATCGAAACGACGTCGTAACTTGGCAAAACGATGTCGTCTCGGTTTGGAGCAAACATTGTGTTTTGTCTGGGGATATTATATTACTCATTCGCGTCCAATTCTTCAAAGACGATGTCATCGCCCTTTTTGTGTCGGCCGATTCCTCTTGAAATTTCAATCCCGTGTGCATATTTCCTTTGGAAAAGATTTGTTTATTTTTTTTTTTCTTTCTCATTCGGCTCTGATTTTTCCATGGTTGTCTAGGGCGAGCTCTTTGGTGTGAACGGCGAGTGCGATTTCCTCCGGCTCTCCAGCAGGCCAGACAGATTGAAGCACGACGACCTCGAGGCCATGGAATAGAGGGCAACCGATTTCAATTTTATCATATCCGATTTTGGGCTCTGATGGTTCGGATCCATTTCTGCAGAATGTCGCTCATGGTATCGAAAGAGCCTCTTCAACAGAATCTCAATCCTATATATATGGTGAGTTAGATATCTTTTGATTTTAATAAATTTACAATTTAGTCGAAATAATTGAGGTTGATGGTTTAGGGTCTTTCTGGGTTAGAGTTTTTTGTTAATACTTTCAAAGTTTCTTCTTTTATTTCATTAAACGTCTCAAAAAGAGGCTTATGCACTCTGTGTTTGGGTGGTTTGGATATTATGCCTGTGTTTGAAGAGAAAAATTGAGGGTTTTGACGTTTAGCTTCGTTGAACGAGTTTTGGAGCATTTGTCGACCTTGCTGAAGTATTCTGGTGCTTAAAACCTGTTCGGCTGCCGGCCACTTTGTACTGGCTATCGAAGTGTGTGCCCGCAGCAGGGGAATCAGAGATATCGACCATCGACGGCCTCCGCTCAGCTCAAAACGCGCAACTCAGCCGTTTCTGGCCCAGAGAGTAAGCCGTTGCCGGCAAATTCGGGATGTCGGTTGGCAGAACACATGTACTTACGGCAGAGCTGTAGCCTCCTGCCTCCTGGTGCTCAGTGGCGGACTGAGTGACGTGGCTCATTTGCATTTGGTACAAAGTGTAACACCCCACCTTACTAGTAAATCAGAGTAGCGCATTTAATCGCAAAGTCTTTGAAAAATAAAGCATTTCTACTTTGCGAAACTGATTTGGGGTGCTATCGTGAAAATCTTTACTTAACTTTAGAAAACCGTTGTTTTAACTTATTAAAACGTCCGGTTATTTAAAAACTTTATTTTCTGAAAAGTTCGTCAAAATACGATAAATTCGACAAAGCCATCAAACATCGTCAAAAGATAGTCAAAACGTAAGCGGAAGCGTAAATTATAGTCATACAGTCCAAAAACATATATACAAATATCCTGAATGTCCCGAGCTGTTCCGTCACGTCACACTCCCGGCCCGACCTGCTGACCTGAAAAATAAGATAAAACTGGGGCGTGAGCACTAGGCACTGTGCTCCGTGGAAACTCATACTAATGTAAAACATCGTAAATAATAACAATATCATGAACTAAGCATATATATCTGAACTGAACTGATACCGGTCTGAACTCGCGACCGAAGTCACGTACTCGCGACCGAAGTCACGTACTCGCGACCGAAGTCACGTAACTGATAACTGATCTCGTGACCGAAGCCACGTAGTGACCGAAGTCACATCTGAACTGAACATCTGCCGGCGAACCGGACACCATGTGCACACTCTAGTGGGCAGACTAGGGCCACTAGAACCCAGAACGGACCGGCGGCCATTCCGAGCGGATACTGAAAATACATACCTCGTACATGGTAGAGCAATTATAAACAATGTAGTACTTAGTCTGAGTCCCCACATGATCTGCTGAACTGAACGGTAGTGCTGATGCCTGATCAAACTTTACAAGTTGTTGATGAACGGCACAAGAATGTGTGTTTTTCCTCGTCCCATGCATGCTTGCGTGAGAAATGAATCAAACTAACTTAATTCTCTAATTCTTTACTTAGTGTTGGCTTAAATATATAACTTGAACATGTAACATACTTTTCACTCCACGTCCTAATAAATATTCGGACAAAAGAAGATGAAAAGCATAGAATTTGGAGTGAAAATTTGTGGCTAACTACCTCTCGCCACTTGCCACGATTTGAAGGCATGAGGTGTACCAAACTTTGCTTATTCACCACCAAATAAACTTCAAGCCCCCACGTATATATAGTAATGATGATGGTAGTAAATAATTGACCAAACATCACACATCTCACGGCAATTAAAATTAAGCATGATTAACATTAATTAATCACGATTATTATTAACTAATCATGATTAACTTTAAACATGATTATCTTTAAACTAATCCTCATTAATGTTAATTAATCTTAATTAACATTAAGCTAATCATAATTATCTTTAAGCTAAT